AAAAAAAAAAAAGTGAAAAATAAAAAACAGTGCTGCTGTAAGCAGACTCACAGAAAAAAAAAAAAAGTACATTATAGCCATGGAAGTATCAAATAAAAGCTCTGTTTAATATTCATTCCCCAAATAGAAAAACCCATTTTATCACCAACCTGTTGCTCTCAGGTTCAGAATGGGGTGAACCTCGATGATTATTTGTAAGTCTTGTTGTGTAAGTATTTGCTGCTTCTGAAAGGTGTCCTCTTGGAACACTTTCCTTCACAGGAGAAAAGCTCTGACTTGACACAGTCGTTGTCCTAAACAATAGCTCAGCATTAATCTATTGGAGGAAAAGAAAACTGATCTTGAAGAATTTTAGAAAATGTGCCATGTCCAAAACACAAGACATTATTTTTCCCTGCTCCCTTTATCCCAGAAGATGAGTACTATCCTAACCATGTGAATTCCTTGTGTAACACCAAAGAACAACAAACAAAAGGCCTGCAAGTGAGTTAAGAATGGTTTTACATTTTTAAAGGTGTGAACAAAACAAAGCAAAGAATATCCAAGAGTGAGTGTATGTGATCCACAAAGCCTGGTATGTACACTAAACTTTACTCTCTGGCCTTTAACAGAAAGATTTGCTGACCCCAAATTATATATAGGACTTACTAGGACACAATAAAAACAGACTTTTCTGAGAAACTGAAAGTCATAAAGAATACTGCCTTAAAAACACAAAGACCACTCTTTTCCCCCAGTTCTGTTTCACCCTGTATATAAGAAAACATTTCAATGTAATTCCAAATTTTCAGATTCAGTGTATTTTCAAACATACTCATCTGCAACAGCCCAACACTTCTTACGTCACAAGTACAACTACCTACTCACATACTCGAAAAAAGCTCCGTAACACCATTAAGCATTAGGAGGGAATGAAATGGCCAGGGAGAATGGTTAACACAGAGAAAGAAAAACACTGTACTTTGGCCCAGGTTAGTACCAGAACATGGTTCCCCAAGTGCTACTATGAACTGTTCCTTGATTGCCAACCTAGCAATAAGATTCTTTACAGAATATCTGCCTTTCCTTAGAAGATCCCAGTGAAATAACAAAAGCGAACACTTTGAACAAAATTGTTGGGTTAGAAAGGCAGGCAAGCAGCAGTACAAGAAAAGAGGAGTACATGAACTGAATCAACAGGATCAGATCAGTCTGTTACGTAAACTCCTAAGCTTTCAAATCCAGTATTTGTTATTAAAGTAACCACCATCCAGTATGAGATATAGCTATAAAATGAAGAAAGGCTTTATTACCCGAGGGATCATTTCCGGTTGTCTGATCCTCAATTTTTCCTTGTCTCTTAAAAAAAAGACGGGATATGAACATTATTTAAATTTACTTCATTACTATTTTTCAGTTGTTTTCCAATGCATATTTGCCGTTTCACCACTGAGCCACTCAGACATGTACCCTAAACTTTGCTTCAATTTCACTGTAACCATTGGTAAGCCCTTAAGTAGAGGAACAGTTCCACCTCTTCTCTCAAAAACACCCTAAATGTCTGTCTCAAGCTCTCCAATCTGACCAGCATTATTCTCAAGACTGAGCAGGAATATCACACAGACCACTAACAGGTTTCTTTACTTTCAATCCTGCTGTTGGATTTATCCTCAAGAACAGTACACTATAAATCAATCACCTGGAAGTTCTTAGTGAACCTGGCCTCCTGTGTGCAGTACATTAGCCTCCAGTTCACTGTAGCTGCCTATCATTCACTACCCAGCTTCTCCATCCCACCTCCATTCCCATTACACCTATTACCATGTTTACTCCAGCTAATTGAACAAATCATTGCTCCCTGTACTACACTCTCACTTTCAGGGACTATTACAATCATTCATGAACTTTCCTGACCCAAACTGCTCCCCCACTCCACCCAGAAGTAATCTCTCATTAAGGGTTTCCTAACAGGATTGGATTGTCATCAACGGTATTCACCAAGTTCTAATTGATAATACACACGTCTCACTTTCCCTGTTACACTGTAAGCTCATAAAGAGCAGAATTCACTTTCAGATTCATCTGCATATGGTCCAAAAAGAAACTATTCTGCGTGCCAACTATTATATGGGATAGGATAACAATAAACAGCAAGTGAAAAGAGAGCACCTATCTACAGCATACACTTAAAAAGAAAAAAGAAAGCACTTGATGGAATGCATTCTATTATCAAATTCTTTTTTGGCTGTACTAGCTTTATCTTGGGGATGAATCAACTAATGCTGCCAAACACCACTGTTGACAGTTGGGGCATTATTTTTCCAGCATACATTAATACAACACTCACTTCTTTTTGTAGGTTTTTTCATAAGTGGGATGCACCAAATCCTCATCTTCAGGTTCTTCTGGAACATCACAATTTCTAGTAAAAAATCACATTGGGATAACACGTCACCAGCGCCTATTCACACATCTTCAACAGTACTTTCTGCCTTTCCAAAGAGGGTACTACCAACTATATGGTACCTGAACTGTGGGTCAGAGTTATTGGAGCAATACCATTTTTCTGGAAGTTGATCTATTCCATCTGGTAATTTTCGCCACTTTAGACAGGAATCACATTGAACCCATGTCTGATCAGGACGTTTCCTATAACAAAACAACAACAAAATACTAGCAGGCAACTTAACCAAGGAGGTTAAAGACCTATACCCTGAAAACTGCAAGACACTCTTGAGAGAAATTAAAAGGGAACACTAATAAATGGAAATAAATCCCATGCTCTTGGGTAGGAAGAATTAATATTGTCAAAATGGCCATCCTGCCTAAAGCAATCTACAGATTCAATGCAATCCTTATCAAAATATTGACAGCATTCCTCAATGAACTAGAACAAACAGTTCTAAAATTCATATGGAACCACAAAAGACCCTGAATAGCCAAACAATCCTTAGAAGAAGAACAGAGCAGGGGGATTACTCTCCCAAACTTCAAGCTCTACTACAAAGCCACAGTGATGAAGACGATTTGGTACTGGCACAAGAACCGAACCATAGATCAATGCAATAGAATAGAGAACCCAGATATAAACCCACAAATAAATGGCCATTAATATATGATAAAGGAGCCATGGACATACAATGGGAAAATGACAGCCTCTTCAACAACCGGTGTTGGCAAAACTGGACAGCTACATCCAAGAAAATGAAACTGGATCACTGTCTAACTCCATACACAAACGTAAATTCAAAATGGATCAAAGACCTGAATGTAAGTCATGAAACCATAAAACTCTTAGAACATAGGCAAAACTCTCTTGAATATAAACATGAGCAACTTTTTCATGAACTTATCTCCCTAGGCAAGATATACAAAAGCAAAAATGAACAAGTGGGATTACATTAAAATGAAAAGCTTCTGTACAGCAAAGGAAACCATCAGTAGAACAAAAAGGCATCCTATGGTATGGGAGAATATATTCATAAATGACATATCTGACAAGGGGTTAACATCCAAAATATATAAAGAACTCACACTCCTCAACACCCAAAAAGCAAATAATCCGATTAACAAATGGACAGAGGATATGAAGAGACAATTCTCCAAAGAAGAAATTCAGATGGCCAACAGACACATGAAAGATGCTCCACATCACTAATCATTAGGGAAGTGCAAATAAAAACCACAATGAGATATCACCTCACACCAGTGAGGATGGCCAGCATTGAAAAGACTAAGAGCAACAAATGCTGGGGAGGATGCGGAGAAAGGGGAACCCTCCTACACTGCTGGTGGGAATGTAAGCTAGTTCAACCATTGTGGAAATCAATATGGGGGTTCCTCAAAAAACTAAAAACAGAAATACCATTTGATCTGGGAATCCCATTCCTTGGAATTTACCCAAAGAATGTAAGTTCTCAGATTCAGTAAGACTTATACACCCCATGTTTATCGCAGCACTATTTATAACAGCCAAGATAATGTCTATCAGTAGATGAATGAATAAACAAGATGTGATACATATACACAATGGAATACTATTCAGCCACAAGAAAGAAACAAATCCTACCCTACCATTTGCAACAACATGGATGGAGCTGGAGGATATTATTATGCTCAGTTAAATAAGCCAGGTGGAAAAAGACAAGTGCCAAATGATTTCCCTCATTTGTGGTGCATAACAACAAAGCAAAAGTGAAGGAACAAAACAGCAGCAGTCTCACAGACTCCAGGAAGGGACTAGCAGTTACCAAGGGGGAGGAGTGTTGGAGGGCAGGTCAGGAGGGAGGGAGATGGGGATTGAGGGTTATTATGTTTAGTACACATGGGGTGAGGGGTCACAGGGAGGACAGTGTAGCACAGAGAAGGCAAATAGTGAATCTGTGGCATCTTACTACACTGATGGACAGTGACTGTTATGGGGTATTGATGGGGACTTGATAATATGGGTAAATGTAGTAACCACATTGTTTTTTCATGTGAAACCTTCATAAGAGTGTATATCACTAATACCTTAAAAAAAAAAAAAAGAACAGCAGCAGACTCACAGAACCCAAGAATGGACTAATAGTTACCAAAGGGAAAGAGACTGGGAAGGGCACATGGGAAGGGAGGGATAAGGGGATTAAGGGGCATTATGATTAGTGCAAATATAGCAGAGGCACAGTATAGCACAAGAGAAGACAAGTAGTGACTCCATACCATCATACTAGGCTGATGGACAGTGACTATAATGGGGTATGTGATGGGGACTTGATAGTAGGGAGGAATCTAGTAACCACAATGTTGCTCATGGGAAACCTGTACATAAGACTGTGTATCAATGGTAGATTAATAAAAAAATATATATATATTAGCATGAAAATGTAGATGCTAAGTATACTTTAGATTTTCTACATCACTTCCACCACAAAATGACTGTTACTTATTTCTGTTCTTGAAAATTCTGTGACATAACTGTTGTTGTACAGCAATTTAAATTTAAAAACAACAATTTGGTTACAGTCAAAAGGTTAAATTTAAACAAAGGCCATTCTAAATAAAGTGACTTAATATTAGTAGCATACTATTAAATTTGTTTTATGATAAAAACTCAAACAACTTAAGAATATATTCCAAATGCCTTGGTCCTTTTATATGAAGTTGTAGTAAGTTAAATTTATATTAAGTTAGCATGTGCAATTTATTTATTAGCACTATAAAGCACTCAAGTACAAAAAAATAGACAAGTTGTATTAGTATAATTTAAGCAATATATGATTTTATTACATTTTTATCCTCTAGCGTATTTCTGAAAAACAAAATTTGTCTATTTATAGTTTAGAAAATGCTTTCATGTTAATCTTTTGAAAAAAATGATCCTGTAAAGAATTTATGTACACACATTTAGTATATGAAAATGTTACCTTAATGCCAGTAACTTAAAACTCAGTTTTAAAAATATTTACTTAGTTATATAAAACTTCAAATACACAAGTTTACAAAGTAAAACCAAACCCCTTGTTTCAGGTCACCACTGTTAATTTTTTTAATCCTGGAGAATTTTCTATGCTTAGAGAATTATGCATATGTATACAGACACCTTAAAAACACAATGAGCAATACATCAAGTCAGATCTTTTTGTTGTTCATGATGTATCTTAGACAGCTTCCCATCAGCACACACATTCCCAGGCGTGCTACTGTGTCTGCATGTCCTTCTGGGTGCTCGTCAAGCATCACATCTTTTAATTCTTACAGCTCTAGGAGTTAGGTGTTATTAATGTTCCCATTTTACAAAGAGAAAATCGAAGCTTATGAAAGACCAAATATCATGGCTGGTGTCACATAAATACTTAAGCAGCAGAACTAGAATCTAAACTTAAGTCTGGCTTTGAATGACCCTATTATACAAGACCAGGATTTTTCAAACTGTAAGATGCAACTCATTACTGGATCATGAAATCAATTAAAAATTTGCATTTTTAAATGAAATAAATGCTATTAACACACAACATATGGGTCAATACTGTTTTGTGAATCTTATACATACATACACATATGTATGTATGTATGTATAAATGTGTATATTCATGTGTTTACTTCATGATGTGGTGATTACAGTTATAGAATTTATTTCTTACTATAGGTTAGAATCAAGTTTGTGGACACTGTATAATCACTGTACCCTCCATTATTACATCTTGATATTAGAGTGGGCTAATATTCTTTTAATGTGCTTACTGTATTTCTTCAACTGGCAAATTTGGAGAATAGTCTGTATTTTTCTTCACTTTCATTTCATTCCAGTAATCATTCAGCTTTTCTCCTAGTGCTGCTATTGTGAGCCTTAAAAAAGTGAATTATAAAATCAATTTAAGAAAAAAATAAAGATAAAGATTAAATCTGTCAAACACGGAGAAAGCATAAACAACCTATTAATGATCATGTGGACATTGAGGAGAGGGACAGATGAAGACTCCAAAAGGTACAGTTAATAAAGAACACTCAAATTAATGGCAACTTACTATAAAGACCCTAAAAGTTCCTATAGCAGAGCCAGGATCATATAGGAACTAAGACACAAAACAGTAATACTTTGGGGGTTCTTTATTAAGCAAGTATACTGTAGACCAATTACTGGGAGAACCACAGGCTCTCTGAACTCCAACCCCAACAAATAAACTTATAAACTATTCAAATTAGAACTCAAATGTTTGGTTTACTAAAGTATTCAATCATTCCAAGCAAGTATACTTCAAACCAGCCTCTGTCGCACAACTAACACTTTCACTTCTACATTATATTAATAAAAAGCAAATCAATGGGACCTATTAAGATAAATAAACTAAGGCCACATTTGAGTAATTATTTATTAATGAGTTAAGCACCTTTTGTGCCAGAACTATGTACAAAGTATAGTTAGCCTAACATTCTAAATTTAAAATAAAGCTTTTAGAAAATAAGACTCAAATTCTATGCTGGCAGATTAATATTAAACCTATCTATGCCTAAGCATTATCTCCCACTTTCTCTCCACCAGAAAGCCCCAAGGTCATGTAACAGTGTAATAGGCAGGCATCCAAATAACACGAATGCAGCTTCTCTCCCTTTCATACCATGTTTTCCGTTTTTTCTCATCGCTTCTACTGCTCAGTCCATGAGACTGTACCTCTTTCTGTTGAGAATATACCTAGAAGTGAACTACAGGGTTCACTTATTGTCTTAACTATTTTTGGTTTTCTAATTTTTCACATAAAGTTTAGTAAAAGCCTATCAATACTGACACAAACATCACTGCTGAGTTTTCACTTCTTAAAGTTTTTAATTCTATTTACTTGTTTTAAAGAAAAATTGACATCTTATAATATTCAGCTTTTCACTTCTTGAACCTGCTGTATCTACTTATTAAGGTTTTAAATTTCACTCCACAATATATTATAGTTTTCAGTGTGTTGAGGTCTTTGCATATTTTATTTACTCCTAAGCACTTTTTTTGATGCTATTATAAATGACTATTTTTTTTTAACTTCACATTCTGGTTTTGTTATTGTTGGTGAACAGAAATACAATGATTTCTGAGTATTTCTTATCCAGCAACCTTTGAATACAGTTTCTTTAAACTCTACGTTTGCATATAATTTTGAACTTTCTATATACTTAATACTTTCATCAATAGTTTCATTTCTTCCTTTCCAATCCTTTAAAAGTCTCTTTTTCTTGCCTTATTGTACTGGTTATTTCTTCAAGACCAGTGGTGAGTAGCTGACAGCCTTACCTCATTCTCACTCTTAAGGGAAGCTATCAATATTTCACAATCAAGAATGATACTTGCTGTTTTTTGTAAATATTCTGTATTGCTCAATATGCCCTTCCATTAATGTTTAAGTGTTCCCTTTTTTCCTAAATCAGAAATGGGTTTTGTGATTTATCAAGTTGCCTTTTTGGTACCTATGAAAATAACAATGAGATTTTTCTTTTTTAACATCAATATTAAGAATCACATTGACTTTTCAATCTTAAAATCACACAAACCATCTGGGAATACAATCCACTAGATTGTATTATCATTTTTACATGTCACTGGATGATATTTGCTATTATTTTAATAAAAACTTTTATATCTTGCTCATGAGAGACACTGACATAAATTCCATTTTTGTATTCATGAGTTCACTACCAAAGTTATGTGGCCTCATAAAACCTTTCAAGATTGTGTAAAGCTGGTACCACTTCTTCCTTACCTGTCTGAATTTAATATATGGGAAATTTTCTAAAAATTGAGTCAATTTCAAAGGAATGTGTCTATATCATTTACAATGGTGAAGAACTGTTCATGTTATTCCTTTGATGCTTTTGTGTCTGTAGTAATGTCCTTTTTATTTCTTATGTCAATGAGTTGTTTTCTTCTTTTTTCCCTTATCTTGCCAGAAGCTTACAGACTTCACTGATCTCATTAAAAAACAAACTTTGTCCTTTCTGACTCTTGTTAGTCATCACTTTATTGTCTCTCAGCTCAAAATTCAGTCTTCTTTGCTGTTTTGTGACACTGGAGCTTGAAACTATAAGCACTCATCCTTTTTGTTTGTAAGGCTGAAGAATAACCTGAGTTAATGGGGCATTGAACCTGCCAGGTGACGGCAGCAGACACTTGTCCTTCAGGTTCTGGTACTTCACTGCTATTTGGCTGGAGTCCAGTGGCCTCCCAAAGGCATCCAGCTGTGCTCTCAGACCAGCCCAGGTCCTCTAGCAAGAGCCTAGTTCCAGTGTACTTACATCCTTGAGCAAAGACAGGTTCCTCTACAAACCAACTCCAGCCTAGCCATACTATCTGGCAACAGCAGGTCATGCCTACAGAGCAGCCCCAGCCAGGACTTCTGGACAGTTTATTTTGACATGGTAGGTAGCTTATTACTATGTTTGTCACCACTCTATGAAGAGATCTGAATTTCTAACTTCAGGGGCACGGTGTCCTCTCCTAGTTCCTTTATTGTTTACTTTTTTCAACCTAGAGGTGACAGCTTTTCTTCTGTATCTGCTAGTTCTTAGCACATACTGTCTTTTTTTACCCTTTTAGTAATCACTCCTCTTCTAGTTACAATTCCTTATATTAAATTACCCTCTTTCAAATAGTGTATGTTTCCTAATTAACTGATTTTGCCTTTACCTTTATTTCCTTTCCTTCCACTTTGTTTTATTTGTTCTCTATTTGAAGAAAGGGCCTATGGCATTTATCTTTGTCTTTATCACAAATACTATGTTTGCATTCTACTACATAACATATGCTCATTAGGACAACTGTGCTTCCTAAATGTACAAGTAAAATTGATAGTCATGTTTATTCTATGGCTTCTAACCACTCTTGGATACGAATATTTCTAAGGCACACAGGACTAAAAGTATCTTAAAGTTCCCATCTAAGCTGAGTTTCAGAATTTTGTATTGCACTAAAAATGCTGATACCAAGGTAAGCAGTTACTCCTTCCACTTTCTATGAACCTCATAAATACTTAAATCAGTAAAGACAGGGGAGAATATATTTCTAATTGGGATAGAGTAGAATACAATATCTAGGCCAAAAGAAGATGGTTAAATGTGTTCTCTGTGTAAACCTCTCACCTACCAATTTTCTTAAAATTCTGTAATATTAAAAAAATCCACAAGATAGAAATTCAGCTTAGAAAAAGTTAGAAAGTATTTCCAAGATAAACTAAAAAGTCAGTAATTTAAATAGGGAACATACCTGTATTCATTAGTATAGTCAAAATCTTGTTTATTATGAGTTGGCTTTAGGAAATTACACTCTATAATTCCTACTACTCCAACTCCCATGTTGTTTGCCTGAAAAATAAAATGAAGTCAGTGTTTTGAGCATAAAACATGGTGTTCAAAATAATTACCTTTCCACAAAAATTTACAATTCGTATGAAACATTTACCCATATTTTATTCCATGATTCTTACGAAATTTAGATTCAAAAACAGTATCTGAGAGGTAATTTACTTTTCTGGGAGTTAATTCCTAAATATAGGGGAGCCTTCTTCCAAAACCACTTCCACTGTTGTCAATACTTAGACAGTGTCCTCACTCCCAATTTTATACAAGGGGGAAAAAAAGACCACCCTTACTGGATGCAAAACCACAACTAATTCCTTTCAATATTCATTGTGCCTTGCAAAGGCTTATATTCTGTAAGTTGCCAGATAAAAATTCAAGTCATTTATACAAAGTTACACATCAATTGCTAATAGGAGTGAAATATAAACCTATGTTAGCTGAGATCAACTTACCTCTAAACCTACTAGTTTCAACACTGAATTTAAAGTATATAAGTCAAACATTCTGATTATCTACATGTGATTAACAAGGGTATTTTGTTCACGATTATAGCTGAATCAACAAAAAGCGAAAAAATATGTAACTTAGGAAAACTTTCTTAAATACAACTACAGATGAAGCCGTTGCAAATCTAATCATAACCCTATGCTATGAAAAACTGCCAGTACTCCCTCAGCTTCTACAATTTCTAAGCCAAAGTACCATTCAGCTTGCAGTTCTTTTTCACCTTCCTTCCAGCCTCATCTTGTCTCTCTTCTATTACTCCACTGCCCACTTACCATCCAGTCCAGGTACAGCAATTAACTCCTTTAATGATGCCAAATTCTCCAAAGCCTCTTTCCCTTCCTTCGCACATACTCTTTTCTCTCTGCCTGGAAAGCCCTTTTCAGATTTTCCAGCACAGTAAAGTCAACTAGACTCATTTCAATCACCACTCTCCCCGAGAAGCCTTTTCTCATGCTCCAAGAATGTACCATATTCCCCTCACCAAACAGAAGTCTGAGGGTATGCTCTCTATCTATCTTATCATCTGCTTATGCTGAACACCTAGCATGGCAAATCATACCAGGGATTAGATAACTAATGTTTACTGGATCCACAGACTGGAAATAACAGACCCAGTTGATCATCTGGTAAAGAAAAAACATTAAATTAGTTGCAAAAGCCTGTTTTTAACATGGTCACAAATTAACATAATGCAAATTTAAACTGAGTTGGAAAAATGGTAAACGTTATCACACTGAAGTCAGGCTCCTAAACAATAAAAAAAAGACAAAAACAAGTATGTTCTGCTGCAGATACAATGTTTCTCTTCAAACTCAAAACACTTGAGAAATAAGACCTATTACCAAAAAAGCAGTTTCAATTACCAGTGAAATTCAGTAATTTTAATTATAAAATATTTTTGACAAAAACTAGTATTTCTATTACAAATAAAAATTAGCATTCTAAGTAAGTTATTGCTACCTCTTATCCTGGTTGCCAGATTTCTGGATTTTTAGACTGAAATTAGTGGTTATAAATAAAAGCCCAACAGAGTTCATTTCTTTTTTAAAAAATGCTATATTCTGGGCTCATGTCATGTAAAATATGTACAACCTCTGTTGAATAATATTCAAGATAAACCCACACTATTATACTGTGCAGAGCTTCTATCACTCTATAAAGAATTTAGAATGAAACAGGAATAGAAAATGAAAATTAGATAATTAGAAAGCAAAATATGCCTGGATTTAAACTTTTAATAAAACTGATTTTCAGAAGTTATCAGTGAATTTGTCACACACACACACCTGTGAAAACATATAAAGAATAAACAAATTAACATAGAAGGCAATGTTCATCTTCAACTGAATTTCAAAATAATGGAGGTGGTTAAGAAGGAAGGCTCTAGTATATTTAGGAAGTAACTTCAGAAAAGTAAATCCCCTATCAGATACTATTTTTTAGTCTGCTGAGTCAACACTAACTAAAACCAACCAATTTCATTCCAGCATGAAACAATCTGGGACCCATATCCAACTTCCATCAAAAGATCTGCATCTATGTCCAAGAGCCATACTCATTGGAAGGTCTAGAGCCAAGTTACTTTGTTAGACCCAGTTTCCTCATCTGTAAAACAGAGATTTAAAAAAACATTCCATGCCCCATGTAAGATTCTTCAGGACCAAAAGAGAAGTTAATATAAGCTATTCTAAATTCAAGTGCCATATCAATATTACTCAAAACACTGACATTGAAAAGTCATTATAAAAAAAAGCACATTATTTCACATTTGACCCAACACATTACAATGACTTTTCTAAGAGATATGAACATTTTCAGATATAAAACTTACCCTTAACTGACATCCTACTTTTTCATAAGCTTTGATGAGTCTATTTCGGTGATACATCATTATTCCATAATGATCTTTATTTCTGCAGTTGAATCCAAAAGTAATTCTTACCGTTTTGGTCTTAAATGTTAAGAAAAATTCTGAACACATCATCTCATTCTCTTCAAATCACTCTATTTCATTTTTTTTTTTGAGTCCAAAAGTACATAAAGGCAAAGTTGGAGAGGAGGATTAGAATCCATATCATGATAAAGGGAGAAAGGGCAGAGGGAAATATTCTTGATTAATATATCTCTATATGGCATCATAAAAAGGAAAGTAAAGGATACTAAAAATTTGGGCCGATAAACATCACGTTCAATGAGAGCAAGACTCTTCGAAACTAGCTGTGTCTTTACTTTCTGTCCACGTAAGATGATCTGCATTCTTGGCTTTAGATACAATATACTGCAGTAAGCCTGCAAAGACATACAATTATCTGTCCTTTCCAAATAATTATCTGTGTTTTTTTCAACATTACTTATCCATGTATTTAAAATGAAAACAACTACCTTGCTTTGATAGATGAACCATTTTAATAGAATAATATAGACTATAAAGCTATATTAGGTAATAGGATTACTTCTCATTAAAAATAAACTCAATAAACTGTAGCTAATAAAAATGATTTGTAGACAATCTATTGACTAATATAGATGTTGACGTTAAGTGAAAAAAGTTAAAATACAGTGTGTATGACTTTATTTTAATTAACAAATACACACATACACAAAAAGGACCATGTTTTCTGACTCTTGGGTCAAGTACATATGTTACTATTGTGATTTAAAAAGCATCAATAAATTTTATTTAGGCAGAAATCACAAGCAAAATCTAATAAAAGGGACTATTGAAAAAGAAAATATCATAATGTACCAACACTTAAGTAGACAAGCATGGTACTTTTTCAAAACTGAGCTATGACAGTCAGCAGGAATCCAGATGTGCTTTTAATTCTTAATGCATTAAAGTTTAGATACTTCAGAATCTTGACCAAAATTTGCATCCTAAATCATGTTAAAATGCTCTTCTGTGCTTGCCTCCAAGCTAGCAGAAATCCCTAAGAAAATGAATTACCAAAAAGGATAGATGAAAGGTTCAACACAGAATTAAAATTTGAACATTTCTTACTTTTTTCCTGACTCCTTATTTCAAAATTAGTTATGTTTTGTTTTGTCATATATAAAATTTATTAATGATATTTTAAAACATTTTACTCTGTGGTATACTAAAACCACACTGTCTGCTCTGGCCGCCTCTGAACCTGTTTCAGATCCAAGATCTTCTTAACAACATACTTCAGTAACATTTTGGGGTATATCAAGGAATAGTAAGTATCTGACACTATAATTGCCAGAGTTACGGTAAACTCATAAATGTCAAACGTATTCTCAGTTTGTGGTAGCACAGAAAATAAAGGTAGAAGTATTATATGTCTTAACATAGTGACTAAGAAACTTTTTTATCATGGTACCTATCCATTTCTAACATCAAATCTCAGAAATATTTATCACAAAATTGTATTAATGTACATAGCTATAGTCTATAATTTATTGCTTTAGGATGCCAAATAAGAGGTGCATGTCTATGTACTGTGTAGTATTTTAAATAAAAAAAAAAACACTCTGCTGGGTTTTTTTAATTGAATTAATCAATATGGGTATCATAGCATATACTGATTCTAGTATTCCCAATTCAGTTAATCTAATCACTTGGTAGAACTTTAAGTTCTTCATAGCTCAGTTTTGAAAAAGACCTGATGGCTTCCCAATTTAAAAACATTTTCTAAACAAACAAAACCACCAGTGCACCCCTCAAGTTTAACAAATTGGTTCATGTCTGAGATGCTTTCACTTAAGAGATTGCTGGCAGCATTTATAACACAAAAGGGTAACACTACTTCCATTATTTGATGATTTTCTCACTAAGAGACCACAAAGAAAGCTGCATACATACCCTCAGGGAATAGTCACTCTCAGGGGCAATTTGGTCCATCCTTTCTTGCTTCCTGTACCCTTTCTTTCCAGTTGTCTCATCTAGATCTTCAGGAATTCTGATGTCATATTTATCCTTATCAAAATCAAACTCAGTTGCATTTTTATAGCTGTAAAAGTAATTTTTTAAAGGAGCTAAGCTAACTTCAGAGCAAGCAAATACTATTAAGTTAACAAAGCAAAACACACATGGTGGGCGTCATGGAAGGTGGGGACAAAAGCAAGAAAAAATATTAAAGGAGTCCAGGAAGATGTAGAACAACTGTATTATTCACTCATACAAGGTTGGTAAGAATGTCAAATGGTAAACCCAATATGAAAAACATTTCTGGCAGTTTCTTAAAAAAAAAAGAGTAAATATTCAACTACCATATAACCCAGCAATTATACTCCTGGGCATTTATCATCCTAGAAAAATAAATATAATAAAAATTATATTCCCACAAAAACCTGTACCCAGATGTCCTTTATCAGGTGAATGGTTAACACATGGTGGCCCATCCATACATACGCTGTAATATTCCGCAGCAAGAAAAAGCAGGCAAACTACTGACACCCAGCAGGTGAGTACCTTCCAAAGTATTTCTACTGTGTAACAAGGAATAAATGTAACGAAACTGTTCCTGCACAATGCATTTCATCTCCCAAATGGTAAACAACTAGCTGAGGTCTACATTTACCTTCTAAGATTCCAAATGATGATCCTTGTCCCCTTCTTACCCATAACAGCATCAAGTTCTGCAAGTAATTTCTGTTCCGTTGAAAACAGAGAATGTCCCAGAATTGCAGCAAGACTTGCTTTTGATTCTGCTAAATTAATCATCTGTCGTATATCCTAAGTTAAAGACTCAGACCAACAACATATTTTTCACAAATTGCAGTATGGGAACCAATTCAACTAATAGAAGAACAATTTCCTCAATTATTTTCTACGTTACAAAAGTGTAGTTTGTTTCAAATAACCACCAAAATGTTTTGAGCAAGTTTACTCTGATTTCAAACCTAATTTAATGGTTTCCAATATTTGAATGTGTTTATAAAACACAGAAGACATTTTCCTAAAAATATCTTGCTTTCCATGGTCACTAGTGAAATATTCAAACCAGACCATAGTAAAACTGAAATGGAGAGGAGAATTCTGGGAAATCAATATAAAACACAGCCACCTGACTTAAAGGATTCCCATGGCATAGTTCCAATGCAGAAGAGAAAGGGACAATGCTTAGCCTCAGATGTAGGGTGGTCAGTAGAAAGGAACAAGAGCTAAAATGGGAGGTGTAATTAAAAATCAAGAATCTGGATGAGGGCAAAAGGAGGGAATAGTTCAGAATATTTATTCAGAGTTTCCCTATAGTTCCTATTTTAAAATCAAAAGGATATGGTGTTTGTTGAATGCCACTATTGGGACAAGAACGTGTTCTGCTTTTATGACTTCCAAGTAGGTCTGAGACAAGAAGCCCACACTCATGCTTTCTCCATTTTTGGTAAAAACTATTGCATCTTTACCCAAACGCATAGAGCCTGACTTGAATCCATTTCCATACAATCCAACTGGGACATGACCATTCATGGTGACTTTGTCACTGAAGCCAAAGCTAAAAAGAAGAGATTTTAAAAATAAATGTGTGACCTCTGCATTTTATTCAAAACCTGTAATAACCAAGTAAAAAGCCTGGTATGAATGCTGGTCTCATCTTTCCTAGCTGTATGACCTTGGGCAAACTGATTTTATATTGATGTGTTCCCCCATCTCTCAAACAACAGAAACCAAATCTACATCATAGGGGTGTAAGGGTTACACATACTAAAACAGTGGCTCATTGCTTGGCACATCCTGGCTAAGCTGTTGAGTTATAATTTGCACTCCAGGGGCCTTGAAATTCCCTCTAAGTGAGAATGAGTGTCTTGATCTCAGCAAGACTACTTACAGTATGATTGACAGGGTAAATTTGACTTTTTGGCAACGTAATGAATATTTTCAGAACAGTAGAAATGCCTCTGCTGCCAAATTCCCCTCTACCCTACAATGTACTATGTATCTTTGTTTCCATTTTAGATATATTTAGCTTCATCCTGACAACCTATTTCTGTGATCCTAGAACCCAAGGCCTTATGACTATTTTATGCAGCTTCATCTTCTGAATGTCTTTAAAATCACCCCACACCAAAAGTGGTTAAGTTTTATTGGAAATACTGGTTAAAACTAATTTACAATAAAGTGTAAATAACTGATCCATTCAGTGTGCTACGACTCTAACGGAATGGTAGAATTTTAGATGTCAGACATATGGAGGAGGTTTTAAGAATGGTAGGGATTGTCTAAAAATATAACAGTAGTTAAAAATGATGGGCAGATACAGGAGACAACACACTGTAGGTGTAGTGTTTTGTTTACAAAAAAAAAAAACTATGGGCAGCAAGTATGACACATGAAACCCTTGAACTGAATAAAAGCAATGATTTTAAGAAATATGACATTTTTTAACATACCTGAGCATTTTATGTAGTTTATCTGAAGTCATACCATTCCCATTATCAGTGAATGTCAAGCATATATGGTCATTTATCACTGTTTTGTCAATCCATATCTGTTTAGCATTCACATCAGGATCGTACGCATTATCTGTGACACAAGTTTTGAGAAATTCTCATTTTGCATTTTAAAGAGCAGTTAACTCAAAACAATCCTTTAACAAGCAACAAAATAACACTATTTTTTTTTTATTAAAGTATCATTGAAACATAATCTCTTATTAGTTTCAAGTACACAACACAGTGGTTCAACAGTTACCCATATTATTAAACCTTCACCCCCACCACCACTATTGCAGTTACTATCTATCAACATAGGAAGATGCTACAGAATCTTTGGCTATTCTCTATGCTGTACTACCATCCCCATGACCAACTTATACTATGATTGCTAATTTTTGTACTCCTTTATCCCCCTCACCCTCTCCCCACATCAGCCCCAACCCCTTCCCCATGGTAACCAATAGTCACTTCTCAGTGTCTGTAAATCTACTGCTGCTTCATTCATTCTGTTTTGCTTTCTATTTATACCCAAAGGTAAGTGAAATAATATGGTATTTGTCTTTCTCTGCCTGGCTTATTTCATTGAGCTTAATAGCCTCAAGATCCACCCATGTCATGGCAAATGGCAGGAATTTTTATTGCTGAATAATATTCCATTGTATAGGTACACTTTGTTTACCCATTCATCTGTGACGCTGAGGTCACTTCACTATCTTGGCTATTGTAAATAATGCAGCAATAAACAAAGGAGTGCATATATCTTTATAAATCAGGGATTTTGTTTTCTTTGGGTATATTTCTAGAAGTGGAATTACTGGGTCGAATGGTATTTCTATTTTTAGTTTTTTTGAGAAACTTTCACACTGTTTCCACAGTGGATGTACCAACTGACATTGCCACCTACAGTGTAGGAGGTAATATTTTTAAGGAAACTTCAAAAATTATAATGTTTAGGAACTCCTAAGATGTGAAAATATGAAGTTAAACTGTACCCTGCTATATTATTCATCAACTGTTAACAGAATTAACTCTTTCCAAAGCCCTCCATTTGTTAAATAGTAAAAACTGGTACACACAATCTGATAAAGTATAAGTAAGAATCACTGTACTACAGAGAAATCAAAGACAGGGAGGTCTTCTGCCCTGGCTATCAAGAGGAAACCTGGAAGCTAAGTGTCAACTAACACTATGAGTTAATAGGGAAGGAACACAATGTGGTTACTGAATAAATAAGAACACAGTATCACTTTGTACTAAGCAATACATGTAGATGTAGCTTACCTTAAGTTGTCGCCCTTTAATCTAATGAAAGTTTCTGGTGGCTCTTAATGTTTCTATGAGCTCCCTACACCCCTCTAATTAACACCCTAGTTTAGCATCCTTGTTTCTCTCAGAACAGCTAAGTATGAAGGAACACATAAAAGAAAAATGAAAACCCTTTCAACAGTACCAGTAACAAAATCAACTTCCTGTCTATCTAAATAAGGTCCATCTGAATAACCCTAAATGACTGAATATACTTTTAGGGCATATTTTGAAGTCTTTCTTACAATATAAATAATGGTTCTCAAACAATCCTTCCATAACAAAGCCTATCACTGAAACCAAATAATCTTTTTTTTTTCAACTACTTTAGGAAAGACAGTGTTTCATTAAAAACTTAAAATTTGATACACCACAAAGAGGACCATGACTTTTAGTTGCTCTAACTCAAAACTAGAGAATCACTATATGCAAATGAACATACCCTGGTTGGGTAGCTCCTCTGGGTTGCCATAAAAAAAAGAATGAGTAAAGAGCTACAATGTCATAGCGTATCTTCTGTGGGGCTTAAAAAACCCACCTGAACTCAAGCCTAAGTTAGCACTATGAGACTGGAAAGTCTAACTATACCAAAGAAATGAAGGGTACTCAAAATATCCTTCTTTTATTTTTCTTGCATATCCTGAAACAGAACCAACCCTTCCTTGATAATGAATTTGAAGTATATCTAAGATTTCTAAGAATATAATTATTTATTATGTTTCTCAAACATATGCTTTAATTTAAAAAAAATTTCATGTGCATGAATTTTCCTGAAGAAATCAATCATGATCCATAATGATCTACAAACCTGTCTCTTATGCTCATTAAAGCACTACTGAAATACAATCCTATACTTGATCATTCTATTAGAGGAAACAAGTACTACTGAGGTAGGACAGGGATATGGGACAAGCATCATGAGTAAATTTTTCTGCCTGTGATGAAAATGTTGATATATAAACAATACAGTAGGAACAGGAGGATCTCCATCTTAAGGTTAAGATTCCATTTTAAAAATCAGAGACTCAGAAGGCGAGATTCCTGACATACTCTTTGGTGGGTAATCAGCCAACAACTGACTCTATGTTAGGACAGGCCGAGTGGTCCTCACTGGTATGTTCCCAGCGCTTGAGGGTAACCACTATCTTGAAGAACAGGGTCAATAAATTCCTTGTGTTAATTTTATCTTACAGAATATCTATAGGACTGACTGTGGATGGTAACATAATGTCTCTCACTGGAGAGACATCATGAAACCACACACACGTCAAGCCTGGACGCCCGCCCCCCTTTGCCTTAAAAGACAGAATTCTACGCTTTTGAGCTTACCTCCTCTCTGAGGTTGCCTGCACCCTCCTTTCTTCGAGTGTGTCCTTTTTGCCTTAAATAAAGACTTCTCACCACTCAACTTATTGCATTTGGCTCTGTGCTCTTCCAGTGGTGCCTTTGTTACTTTGCTATTTCATTCAATTTTCTAGACTTAAGCACAAGTCTTCTCTCTCTCTGGCCTACTTCAGACAAGTGGGGAAGGGCTACTGAGAGCTCTGATTCAGGCTTTCAAGTTCCTGTCACTTGGGTGACCCAGACAGGACTGCAGCTGTGCGATCACACTCTTTAGTAGCTTGACTGAACATCTCCTTGTTTTGCCTTTGGGAAGTTCTCAGAACATAATCCCACTCCATGCTGTGCTCTGCAGCTCTCCACATCCTGGGCTGGTAGGGGCTTAGTTCCCACGCTGTGCAAGTGCACACTGGATACACCAGGTGACTCTGGCTTCAGGAGTTGGCAAGGGATTTGCCCTATGCTGAGCAGGAGTTCAATGAGCTTCCCTTTCCTGCTTGGGCTCTTCCTTGCTCTCTGCTGCCTGCAAAAGCAGCTGCCATTCGCTGCTACTCTCACTTTAATGAATTCTTCCCTTATACCTAACATTTGTCTGACCTGCTCAATCTCCTTCAGAGTCAAGAAACCCTTGCCTGCCTGGGCTAAGGTTTCACCTAGTACACAGGGAGTTCTCTCTCTAGATGGGGCTGCCTGCCAACACTACCACAAATATAACATTAATACTCCTACTAACATCAGAAAAACCCACTGTTACGCATACATTCCAACTATTAAAAACAATTTTCACTTTTTGTGATAGATTTATTTCCTTTATATTCGGTATAAAAGTATTTTCAACATACATGCTTTGTGAACTTAACAAATTAAACTACCTTCATAGTAGTCCAGGAAGGGTTGAGCAGTGAATAATCTGACATCTTTTTGAACACTTGTTATGCCAGGTAACCTATACATTGTTCAAGACACATTTCTTTTCTTAAAAAGCACATCTGCATATTATTTTTCAATGCAAAGTTTTTTAAAATTTCAATTGCAAGCAACAGACCATATATGAAATGTCAGTTTTACATACCTATTAATTCAGCGACTGCACTGAATGGCCATGTGTGACTAGTAGAATTTGTATGTAAAAACTTCGGGCAAAGCTGAAATAAACCAATAATTCACGTAAATTAATTCAGGTCTTTTGAAACAGAAACCAATATAATTTTCTGTCCCTGTGTTAAATTGAGACCAAGCAAAAATGACAGCTGCTTGCTTCAGGATACCTGAACATACAACATAGAAAATAAAGAGTCTTGGGAGGTAAGGCTGTGAAAATTAGTTTACTTATCAAGACTTCAAAACTCTTTCCTCCTGTGTCCACCAATCCAAACCATGGTATTACATACTGCCCAATCACAACCTGCCTTACAAAACTTACCTCAAAATTACTGAGAGACACAACTAAGACTTTGTCAAGGGGGTGTTTTCTCAGTGCATTCGTTTTAATAAACCTAGCTTTGCCTGTTAATCAACAGGCTTTTCTCGAGATGTCTTGGAAAATCGGTATTTGACACTTTATTATATTATTTAGTCCGGTTAGTTATAGTCAAACTTGAGAACTTAAGGTGATGAAGTAGTATTCATCTACCAACACTTCAAACAATGTCAACTAATCTATTAGGAATGTTAGGCAGAAAGACAGACATGAGCAGCAGGGAAAGGGGAAGATAAGGTTCAAAGAAAAGACTGCATAAATTCTGCCCAGGTAGGATGTGAAGACAATAAAGGCTTTGCAGGGAGATAACTTCCTTGCCTATGGGGACCAGACCAAACTGGTCCCAGCCAGATTCCAACACCCTCACAACTTGACTGAACATCTCCTTGTTTTGCCTTTGGGAAGTTCTCAGAACATAATCCCACTCCATGCTGTGCTCTGCAGCTCTCCACATCCTGGGCTGGTAGGGGCTTAGTTCCCACGCTGTGCAAGTGCACACTGGATACACCAGGTGACTCTGGCTTCAGGAGTTGGCAAGGGATTTGCCCTATGCTGAGCAGGAGTTCAATGAGCTTCCCTTTCCTGCTTGGGCTCTTCCTTGCTCTCTGCTGCCTGCAAAAGCAGCTGCCATTCGCTGCTACTCTCACTTTAATGAATTCTTCCCTTATACCTAACATTTGTCTGACCTGCTCAATCTCCTTCAGAGTCAAGAAACCCTTGCCTGCCTGGGCTAAGGTTTCACCTAGTACACAGGGAGTTCTCTCTCTAGATGGGGCTGCCTGCCAACACTACCACAAATATAACATTAATACTCCTACTAACATCAGAAAAACCCACTGTTACGCATACATTCCAACTATTAAAAACAATTTTCACTTTTTGTGATAGATTTATTTCCTTTATATTCGGTATAAAAGTATTTTCAACATACATGCTTTGTGAACTTAACAAATTAAACTACCTTCATAGTAGTCCAGGAAGGGTTGAGCAGTGAATAATCTGACATCTTTTTGAACACTTGTTATGCCAGGTAACCTATACATTGTTCAAGACACATTTCTTTTCTTAAAAAGCACATCTGCATATTATTTTTCAATGCAAAGTTTTTTAAAATTTCAATTGCAAGCAACAGACCATATATGAAATGTCAGTTTTACATACCTATTAATTCAGCGACTGCACTGAATGGCCATGTGTGACTAGTAGAATTTGTATGTAAAAACTTCGGGCAAAGCTGAAATAAACCAATAATTCACGTAAATTAATTCAGGTCTTTTGAAACAGAAACCAATATAATTTTCTGTCCCTGTGTTAAATTGAGACCAAGCAAAAATGACAGCTGCTTGCTTCAGGATACCTGAACATACAACATAGAAAATAAAGAGTCTTGGGAGGTAAGGCTGTGAAAATTAGTTTACTTATCAAGACTTCAAAACTCTTTCCTCCTGTGTCCACCAATCCAAACCATGGTATTACATACTGCCCAATCACAACCTGCCTTACAAAACTTACCTCAAAATTACTGAGAGACACAACTAAGACTTTGTCAAGGGGGTGTTTTCTCAGTGCATTCGTTTTAATAAACCTAGCTTTGCCTGTTAATCAACAGGCTTTTCTCGAGATGTCTTGGAAAATCGGTATTTGACACTTTATTATATTATTTAGTCCGGTTAGTTATAGTCAAACTTGAGAACTTAAGGTGATGAAGTAGTATTCATCTACCAACACTTCAAACAATGTCAACTAATCTATTAGGAATGTTAGGCAGAAAGACACACATGAGCAGCAGGGAAAGGGGAAGATAAGGTTCAAAGAAAAGACTGCATAAATTCTGCCCAGGTAGGATGTGAAGACAATAAAGGCTTTGCAGGGAGATAACTTCCTTGCCTATGGGGACCAGACCAAACTGGTCCCAGCCAGATTCCAACACCCTCACAACTGAATAGAACCAAGAACTGCCCAAACCACACCAAATCATGGGAAAGGCCATGCTGAGAGGGGTGGCTATACAGGAGGACCTGTAAATCAAATAACACCACCTTGTCAATTAAGTAAGCACCTTCCAGCCAGAGAACAGACTGGGCCCATTGTGTACCTTGACTCTGGCTCACTCCTTCCTTGGAGTGTATTCAAGTAATGCTCTTGCTGTACTTCATTATCGTGTCTCTAGCTTCCAATTCTTTGTTATGGTGCAGAAAAGCACAGAGGAGTACAAACTCAGCCCGGTAACAGTTAAATTGCCACAAACACTCTTGGTTTCCAAGGATTTTAGGTCTTATTTTATTCATGGTAATACAGTATGGAAGATGAGGCCAATGAACCTCATATAGGGAACTACATTCCTAAGTAATGTAGGTATCAAATGTATAAACACATGTACATGTGGTTTTAAAAGGTTGAGTCTTGAAATTTTCAATACGCAGAGAACTTTCATGCAATGGGGATTTCCCGTGTTCATTCTTAACAGATTCTTTTATATTCAAGGAAAAAAGGAGAGGTGGCACTCTTAAGAGGTCTAGGTGAGGAGCCCTAGAAACGTGAGTTGATTCTAAAACAAACCAACTCTGTAGTGCTCATCTGCTGCCACAAGGTGTCAGAAAGAGGTCTACTCCTCTGTCCACACTTGATTTTAGACAATCCCCAAGCATCATTCATCATTAGATGGAAGTACACATATGAGAAATGCTATTTTGTAGACCAGTGGTCTTCAAAACATAACATATGTAATTCAGGCTTTCTATGGCATACATAATGTAATATGGCACACATTCATGTATACAGACTATAAGCAACCCAGGTGTTCTAAAGCACATACCACAAGTTTTTAATGAAAACCAACTTCCCAGGTCTTCACCTTGCACAAGAAGCCTTCTCTCCAATTAATCTACCTGAGAATATCTTCCTGTCCCAGCCACTCCCCTTGTATAAGCATCATTCTGCCATTTATAAAAGGGCATAATCCTCATCCATTCTAATCTTATTGTTGGGGGTGTCTGGGTTGGGGGAGACATGGCTTTGGGGTATAAAAATCTCTGACTACCAAAGGATAAAATGATTAATCAAGCACCATAAACCCTTGGAATTTCTGTCTTTGCTCTATTTTACGCACTTCAGTTAAGCATGGAGTCTGGAGTTAGAAATAGGGTATTCTGGCCCATGTTACAGTACTCTTATTTTAAATGTACAGCAGAGTGTGATGGTGGGAATGTCAATTCTCATTTAATGTCTTCACCCTATAGGCCACACTGACATGGTACACTGTTCTTGAGGAAGAGTCCCAGGAGAGCAAAGCAAAAAAGGCTTCAGCAAGAAATAATGAAGGCACAACAGTGACTTCTTGGGTAAACATAAGCAATTATTTTAAACTCTTCTTAATTCTCATCTGTAGACCATATAATTTGCTAGTAAAACACACCTGCATAGCCAAAGCAGAAATAACACATGCACCAGAAGCAGAAATACCAGAGTATAGTGTGTAATCCTGGGCAAGAAGCTTAATGTCTGTGCCTCAAGTTTTGTCATCTGTAAAAATGAGGGTGGTAATAGTATCAGCTTATATTTGTAATATTTGTAATATTTGGAAGAACACTTGAATAGTAATAAGCATTACTAGTGTGTTAAAAGAAAAAAAAAGTATTCCTTTAAAGCACAACTGAGCTCGTATAAAAATAAAAATAAGGAAAATCCTCAAGGGCCTCATGTAAAGAGGGAATTAAAAATGAAAATAAAATCTGAAAATGGGGATGTACTCACTGGTGTGGCTAAAATGAAAGTTTGTGTGTCCAGGATTCTCACCTGGCCCTGGTTGGCTAACTCACTACACACGTGTGGGCAATATGTTGTTACTGACTGTATATAGAGAGCCCTGCCCAGTGCTCTGGGCAACAACAAGGCTGCAGGAAAGCAGAGGCTGGAGTGGTGGCAGCACCAATGACAGAAGCCCAGAGGATGGCTGTGAGGGCAGACGCCCAGAGGCAGAGACCAGCTTGCTGCATGCAGACTCACTCTGAGTGGATGGGATTTTAGTAACTGACCTGCCACCGTGGAAATAAAGTTGCATATAACCCTTTCACCCCAAGAACGTCCTAGTGTCATTTCTTTGGTCACACTGAATCCACAGTGAACTTGCCCAGGGCTGAAACCCATTGGCAAGACAACTGGGGATTAGAGTGGGGTGCTTAACTGGAATACAAAAATTTCGGTTTTAATGGTTATTCAGAGATAGGAGATTTGGCACTCAAGAAACTCAGAACTGCTCCCCACCCCCTCAATACAAAAAGGAGGAGAGTGGGGTTCTGCCTAATAGGAAGCTTGTCTGTTTTGGTTTGAACTCAAGGTCAAAAAAAAAGAAGTGTAACATGAAGCTGTTAAAGGAGGCATGCATTCAGTGGGGTTAAGTGTTTCAATTTAACCTGCAGAACCACTGTGGAGACACAGCCTCAACCAGACAACATGGGATTCCCCAGGTCATTATTTGAGGGAATATATGAGTGTATCATGTGGATAAAATAAGAGTTCCTGTGGTTAGGATTCTCACCTGGCCCTGGTTGACTAGCTCACTGAACACCTGTGTACAATACATGGCTGTTGACTCTATAAAGAGCTCTGCCCAGTGCTCTGGGTGACACGATGGCAGGGCTACAAGGCTGCAGGAGAGCAGAGCAGAGGCTGGAGTGGTGGCAGCGCTGAAGACAGAGGCCCAGAGGACGACTGTGTGGGACTACTGTGCAGAGAGGCCCAGAGGACAGCTGTGCGGACAGAAGGGCCCAGAGGCAGAGACTGGCTTGCTGCATGCAGACTCGCTCTGAGTGAACGGGATTCTAGTGACTGACCTGCCACCTGGAAATAAAGTTGGGTATAACCCTTTCACCCAAGAACATTTTGCTGTTGATTTCTTTGGTCATATTGAATCCATAGCGAACTTGCCCGGGGCTGAAACCCACTGGCAAGACAATCATCTAAAATAATATTTAAGGAAACAATCCACCAGGAGAAAATGTTAGCAGACAAGATACGGTAGTAGTAAACTCTCTCCTCCACCAGATCATTAGGTAAATAGCACCCCCTAAAATAAATATCACTTGAATAAGACATTTAAAAAATAGTTTTCAAAAAACACAAAAATGTGATGCTATCAAGATCATAGATTTTTAAAAAATCAATAGAACTTCAGAATCAACAAATAGTCACTAATTTAAAAACTAATATAAGACTTTTTAAACATGGAGACCTAAACACATGGAGAGTGTTTACCTGTGCCCTTCCTGAAACTGCTATATAATGGGGGGAGAATGGGGAAAGCACAAACCCAGAAGAACAAAAAGAATCAGAGAAGTGATGGGCAACAGTAGACAAGACAGCCAGTAATCTGGAAATTAGAAAGCAGAGACTAGTGAAAACCAATTCTACAGCCTGAAAAAGCTGAATGTGAAGCCTATAGGAGACAGCAAACCCAATGAAAACATAGGCCAGGAACCTTGGCAGAACCCCAGAAAAGACTTAGTAATTAGATTTTTGTGCCATTTAAATCAAAAGTATTAAGGACTATGAAAATAAGGTAGGTTGAAAGTCTTTAAAAGAAACATTTAAGATAACCCCAGATCCTTCTTCTACCCTGAGCAGCCCAGTATAGAACTGGAGGTCTGTTCTCTGGAGAAATTGATGCAAACAGGCTCACTGACAGTGGGTTGGTTGAAAGCAAACAGGCAAAGAGCCCAGAAATAAACCCTTTCCGATACAATCAGAAGACTTTCCACAAGGGTGTAATGACCATCCAATGGGGAAAAGACAGCATTTTCAACAAACACTGCTGGGAAAACTGCATCTCCACATGCAAAAGAATGAAACGGTACCCTTACCTTATACCCTTTACAAAAATTAGATCAAAGACCTATACATAAGAGCTTAAACTACAGCACTCTAAGAAGAAAACATGGGGCAAATTTCATCACACTGGATTTGGCAATGATTTCTTGGATATGACAGCAAAAAGCACAGGAAACACAAGAAAAAAATAAATTGGACTACATGAGAATATAAAACTTCCATACATCAGAGGACACACAGTGAAAAGGCATAGAAGGAGGAAAAAAAACCCTACAGAATGGGAGAAAACACCTGCAAATCAAGTATCAAATTAGGGATTAAAATCCAGAATATATAAAGAACTCCTACACAAATCAACAAGACTAGCAAACCAATTAAAGAATGGGCAAAGGACTTAGATATTTCTCCAAAGATGGAATACAAATGGCCAATAAGCTCATGAAAAGATGCTCATCACTAATCATTAGGAAAATGCAAATCAAAACCACAATGATGTACCACCTCACATGTATTAGGATAGCTATATTTTATAATACAAATACGAATATAATGAAACAAAAGCAGAACAAAACCAGAAAATAACAAGTGTTGGGGAGGATGTGGAGAAATTGGTACTTGAGTGCACTATCTGAGGGAACGTAAAATGGTGCAGCCACTATGGAAAACAATATAAGAGTTCTTCAAAAAATTAAATATAGAATTACCATATGATCCAGCAATATCACTTTCTGGGTAGATTCTGGAAAGAACTGAAAGTACTCTTGAAGAGATTACTGTACACCTAAATTCACAATAACCAAACAGTGGAAGCAACCTAAATGTCCATCAATGAATAAATGGATAAGTAAAATGAGGTATATTCATACAATATTCAGTATTAAAAAGGAAGGACATATTGACACATGCCACAGCATGGATGAACCCCTGAGCACATTATGCTAAGTGAAATAAGACAATCACAAAAAAATATATTATTCCACTTATATGAGGTACTTGTAATTCATAAAGTAGATGATGGTTGCTAGGGAATGGGGGAAGGGAAAATGGAGTTATTTTTAATGGATATAGTTTTAGTTTTTCAAGATGAAGCATTCTGGAGATTGGCTGCACAATGCAAATGTACTAAACATTACTGAACTACATATACTTAAAAATGGTTAAGATGGTGTATTTTATGTTACATGTATTTTAGCACAACAAACAAACACTAAGTCAGCAAACTGAACAATGTGATATACTTATCTCCTTTTCCCTGCTGAGCTTCCAAAAGAGCTAGCAGCTGGGATCATATGTGCCATAGCAGGAGAGTAGATGTAGAATTTGTCTCTGGAAAACTGAAATGACTTCTAAAAGTTCTGTTCCTTTACAACTGTGCCAAGCCTTTCTGGACAGCATCTTATTCTTGTTGTTTGAAGTTTTAAAAAGTTAATTTTAAGAAAATTTAAACTTGATACTGACACAGGGTGTCCCCCATAAAATAGTTGACTCGCATCTTATTCTTGTTGTTTGAAGTTTTAAAAAATTAATTTTAAGAAAATTTAAACTTGATACTGACACAGGGTGTCCCCCACAAAGTAGTTGACTTCTTCGTATTTGATCACCCAACACTGAAGCCCATCAAGGGGCAAGTTGTACTCTCCAGTCAGCTTTTACTGCAGTGTCTCACTTGGGAAGCAGAAGGCTAATCATCTCCAGACATTTGAGAATGTGTAAAATTAGGAATAGAATCAAAAGCACACAGAGAAAAGGAAGAAACAGAGGCAATGCAGTGAGCAAAAAAAAAAGCCCTCAAAAATACTATGATTAATATGCCCAACAATAAAAACAAATATTTTGTCCAGGGAGATTCTATAAAGAGAGTAAGAGGATCAAGTGAAGGAAACCTCTGTTAAAGGAAAGAAAAAAAATGAGAAAGTTTTCCAGATTATTAAGGACTTGAGATTCTAGCCTAATAAGCACCCAATACAGCTGCATAGTACTCAATCAAAAAAAAAAAAGCATGGATGGAAAATCAAGAGTCATTTCTAATCTAGAATTACAAACTCAATCAAATTATATGTAAGGAGCAAGTAATGGTATCATAAACATATGTCCAAGAAATGACATAACCAATTTTTCTTTCCACGTACTCTGTTCTCAGGAAACTACGTGTTTTTGGAAGGATGGATAGGCTCTACCCCAAGAAAGAAAAAAAGAAAATATTTACTGAGTGCTTACTGCATGCACAGGCCCTTTATATGTATTTGCTCCTGCAATTTTTAAAACAAACCTCTGAGGTGGGTAAGATTATTATTCCCACCCTTTAGATGGGAAACTCTGGCACAGAGAGGTTAAGTAACTTGCCCAAGGTCACACATCCAGTTTCCAGTCAGGATTCGAACCGAAGCAGCTGGGCTCCTGAGCCCAAGCTCAGTCACTAACTTACTGTTCTTGCTAAGGGAATAAACCCCAGAAGAGGAATATGTGGGATGTAAACACAACAAAAAGGGGAAGGAAATTTCCAGAAAAATGATAAAGGGAAGTCCCCAAAACACAACTGAGCCAACAAAACTGGCAGAATATTGGGTGTGCTTGAACACGTGGAAAATATTTTCCAGTCCTCTTAAAGTTTGGATGAAACAGTGATCAATACAAAGAAAAATTAAGCAAGCAAACAAAACACAAATAAATTATTAACTTCAGGGAAAGCAAGAAGTCATACAGCAAAGAAAATGCAATCACAGTTCTGGTTGGACATTTGTGAATAATGGTAAAAGTGATAACAAATTACACAGTAATTCAACCAAAAACAGTGATACAAGCACTGCAGGATTGGGAGGAGGCAAAAAGAGCATGTGTTCCAGCTAAATCCTCAGCAGGGTCTCTGGAAAACAATAAAATGGCATCAGCATTTGATTAAAGATATACTGAGGCAAAAAGCAAAAACTTAAAAATTAAGTTTCTGTCACTCTGCATTCCATTCTGGGATCGCCCTACTCCTTAAAAGATTTTTTTAAAATTTGCTGATTATGTTTCACCCGTTGTGCCTTAAATGCATAAATTAATCTATCACTTAGACCCTCTCCTAATGCAAGCATTAGTAAACCAACGAGTATGGCTATATTTCAATGAAACTTTAATTTATGGAAACTGAAATGTGTATTTCACATAATTTTCATGTTATGAAATATTATTCTTTGTTTTTTTTCCATCCTTTTAAAAATCATTCTTAGATTGTGGGCTACACAAAAACAGGTGGCAGGCTGGATTTGGCCCATTAACTGTAGTCTGCCAATTCCTGTCCTAAAGCAGAGACCAGTAGATACAGTCCAGAAGCTGCAGGTGGGCGATTTCTGTCAAAGAGGTTCCAAACAGCCCAAAAGAAAGATTTAGCACATAGACAGCTGCTTCACTCACAGAGCCAGCTAACAAAAATAAAGCCAGAGACAGCAACATACATAGGAGGGGCTGGGGAAGGGAGAAGAGAATCCAAGTGCAGGAATAGGAAGAAATCAGTTCACTTTTTTGCCTAAAATTTAGTCCAATCTGGGAGGGAATAGGGCAAGGCATTAAATTAAAGAAGATTTTAAACGAGGTTAGACTTTACAACACCTAAGACTAATTGGAAAGTGCCAGATTCACCCAGATGTAAGAACAATTAGCAAATACTGTTTAAAGCTATCGATAAGAAAGAAGTTGCTCTCTATATTCAAACTACTAAATACTATCTCATTCAATAAACCAGTTACATAACCTAAGGGCCTATATTCAGAATACATAAAAAACTCTTTTATACATCAATAAACATTCCCCCAAGAAAATAAGAGATACTCTAATCTTTGAATAGGTATTTTTTTTAAACACAAAAACCCAAAAAGTTGAAACATGAAGAAATTTCAACTTCTTAGTCAAGAAAATGCAAAGTAAACCCAGATACCAATTCAAGCTCATCAGACAAGGCAATTAAGTTTGACCGGCGTCATGTTAAATGAATGAAACAAGTCACAGAGTCAAGGCACCGTTTTTAAGGTAATGAATGGCATTAATAAATGTTGAATTCAATGGCAAGAATCTACCACCTCAAAAGAGGAAGGTACCTTTTTGCACGACTCCTTTTTCATGATAATCGGGCAGGGTGGCCACGCCCACACTTTAGGAGGTGAAATTTTAATTCATAAGTGTGTGACTGTTCCCTACAATGAGATTCATAGATAACAGAAATACTTTAGGATTTCCAAGAACCCGAAATGTCCCGAAACGGACGCAACTAAGGGGGCTAGAGGGGAAACAGGAGAGCTCGGTGACCTAGGGATTGGGGCACGAGGACTTCACTGGAGGGAAGCGGCAGTAATTTAAACGGATCAGGAAGACTCGTCGCGGCTCGCGACCCTTCTGAGGTCCAGGCCGCCCGGAATCTTTGGCCGCAGACAGCCGCTCCCTCCCCGCGGGGCGTCCCCGGGCCCGGCGGCCGGGAAGGGTCAGGGGCCCCGCTGTTGGAGGGGCGGGAGAGCCCGCAGCCGAGGCCTCGCCGTCGGACGACAGCTGCGAGGCAGCCAGGAGGAGACCGGGAGGAGGGGCTGCGGCCCCAGCCCGCCCCGAAGCCGCGGGGCCAAAACAGAAAACCAGCGCGGAGGAAACGGAACGCACCCTAGCCCTGGTCGCCCGTCCCGGCCCTGCCGGCCACACGGCCGCTCCGCCGACAGCAGCCAGAAGGCCGCCCCCTCCTCAGCCCCTCCACAGCCCCAGCCGCAGCGCCGGGCCCACGAGTCGCCACCGCCCACTGCCGGCCCCCCTTCGCTTGCCCGCCTGCCCGCCCTCCTGGGACACGGCCCGCTCCACCCCTCGCGGCTGCTCACCGCGCTGAGTCGGATCCCGGTGGGTGGTTGCGCAGCCATCTTGAGCAGGCTACAAAGCCAGGACCGGCCTCAGCCTCAAACCGACTGGGAGGCAGCGGGGACGAACGTAGGGCCCGGTGAGTCCCCGCCCACTTCCGGGGAGGGGCGCTAGGCCTTCCCGCCCACTCACTTCCGCCTTCAGGCAAAGTCGGAATCGAAATGTGGGGAAAGTGCAGGACCCTTGTGGTTGAGGCTGGGAGAGCGATAGCGCTGGGCTCCGAGTGCGGGGCTCTGCGAGGGGAGGGCGCATGCGTGCGGCGCAGCGGCGCGTGCGATCCCTGTATTAACTGTGCATTAACTGGACCTGGAGGCTTGAGAGTTCCGAGGTTGAAGCCTGGAGGGACGTGCGGTGGTGGCCAGGTAAAAGTGCACTCGAGGCCCGTGACCTAGCTGGACATGAATTGCAGTGAGAAAAGCCAGTCCATACCTACCAGTGTCAAAAGTGATTTGAAACCTTGTTAACCAAAGAAAGGTTTTCTACATTTTGACTTTACCCTGAGAATTATCATCCTTCATTCTGATGCAGAGTCCTTCTTCACGTTGGTTAAGTCTTTTTGCTCGTGCACACTTATTCGGTGTCAGCTTTGAGTGGGGCATTGGGCTGGGTAGCGTACAGAAATGGGTAAGTCAAGGACTGTCAGATACAACAGGTAGAGAAAGAATTGAAAATATTCATCACGGGTTTTTTTTTCTTCTTTTTATCTCTTTTGTCCTGGTTTTGGGGAAGTGGGGGCACATGTCAGGCCTCTAACACTTGTTTTTGTATTTTAAACAAAAATAAACAGTTCATTCATTTCTTCCCCTCCCCCCACACCCATTGTGGTTTTATATTGTAAAATTATTTTCTTTGTGAAAATTCAAATAATGAATAAATGTAAAACAAGATTTACCCCTAATCCCTTCACCACAACATATAAATAATTTGGTGTACATTCCTCCTGTTAACAAATCTCTTCATAAAAAAGGACATTAAGTCAAGGAGAACTTTATTGCTAAAAAACAATCAGCAAACCAGGAAGGCACAGCTATAAACCAAAAGTACACTGAGAAACAGGAGTTTGTTTTTATAAAAATTTCCACGTGACTTCCCATTCCGGTCCCTTTATGCAAATAAGGGATGGAGCCCTGTTTAGTTCTGATTGGTTGGTGTAAGTTGAAGCTGGTTGGTGTAAGTTGAAGCTGATTGGTTGACTTCCCAGCCATTGTTTGTTTTAGGCTGGTTCTTCAGTGAGCAGATGTGGGGTTTGTGGATCTTTTAAGGGTACAGAGTAAGTGTGTGGCCTGTTAATACAAGGCTGATGGGCTCGTTTTTGCTGTGGGCCTTAGTTAGCCTGACAGAATCCAATTTTCTGGAACAATTGGATTATTATGGGGAGGTGGAACTCACTTGGTTTTGTCTAATCTTCACACTTTATAGACATTTATATACTAAGTATTATTTACAACACAGCCTCACAATGGTATGACTTACAGGTTTTCAACTTTATGATGGTGTGAAAGTGAAACGCATTCAGCAGAAACCATGCAGCGAATTTTGAATTTGGGTCTGTAAGTCCGGGGAGAGGAAATCCGTTTCAAATACGTTTATTTACAAACTGCAGTCCGGGGCAGCAGTTTCTCTCTCCTGCTCCAGCAGAAGCAAAACCTGCCCTTCCCTCATCTCTCAGGTACAGATAAGCCCTCCGTTGCCCAGGTAATTACTCGTTGATACGGAGATGAACTTCTCTCCACTCCTGAGGATATGCAAATGCACTAAAGCCACACTTCTTTCTACCCCTGAATGCCTGTTGATATGCAGATGTACTAAAGCCAGGGGGGATATTCTGGAAATACTATCATTTTACCCACAGGGTCCTTTCCACAGCATCCAGTTAGCCACATGATCACAAGAGAAACAAGTGATACACTTACAATCATTTTGTACCCCTACAGCCATTCTGTCTTTCACTTTCAGTACATTATTCAATAAATTACATGAGATATTCAACAGTTTATTATATAAATTGGGCTTTGTGTCATGATTTTGCCTAACTGTAGGCTAATGAGCACTTTAATAAGGTAAGTTAGGCTAAACTATGATGTTTGGTAGTTTAGATGAATTAAATGCATTTTTGACTTAGGAAGGGTTTATTGTGAGGTGACCCCATCATAAATTAAGGAAGATACGGGACTAAACCTTACATAATTTTTCTGCAACTTGTGTTTTTGTTGATGGAAATACTTCAATCCAAGGCTTGTAAGTGCTCAAATATTTTTGAATTAATGAATTGCTAAAACAAAATTAAACAGAGTAAAATTGAAGATCTAATTGTCTTTATTAAGCAACTTGTGAATTGGGCAGCATCCCATCTAGCATCCTCCAGGTTGAAACCAGTCGGTTTGGCAGGTGTGTTACCTAGTAAGTAAAGGGGAGCTCCAGGAGTTGCACAAAATAGGTTTTTATAGGAAGGAGGGTGGGGCAAGGAAGTGATTAGCAAAAGAGAAGAAAGGATGGTCTCAGGGAGGTCACTTTCCCTTAGGGGGAAAGCAGAGGGTCTAATCATGCAGATGGCCTCTTTTCTTTGGGGGAGGGGGGATGGAGAGGGCCCAGGTGACAGATTACCTCATGGGTGCTGACCAGAAAATTCCCAACTAGTTAAGACTACATGTCTGGGGGAGGTTGGAACTGCAGTTAAGTCAGGTATTCCCCCTAGCTTGGTGACTTATCCCAGCATCAGTGACTCCATTTTGGGCCTGTACTTTTCTTTTTGACAGACTGAATAAATGAATGAGGAAACACTAAAAACAAACAAACAAAACAAAACCCTGTGTTCTGTTGTCACCATTATGATCCACCAGTGGGTAAATGACATTGGGTGAATCACCCAAGTAAGAGTGCTAGTAATACTGTTGTCAGGCCATCCTGTCCAGGGAGAGCTCCCTGTGCACTACGTGAGACCTCAATTGGGAGAGGGTTCTTGACTCTGACTGAGAAAGAATTCATGAACAGGTTGGGCAGGTACAAATGAAGAGTAGTTTAGTAAAGCAAAGTACACACTTGAGGGATTACAGGCATTCTCGAGAGGTGAGCAGCATGGTGGGGTTTGGGTTGGGGGTCTAAGAGCTGGAGTTTAAGTGGGGGGTGGGGGTGTGGAACATTCATTAGGACAGGTTGTCTTTTCTCAGAATCAGGAGGGGATTTCTGGGAAATGGGGTGCTGACTTCTTTTCATCCATAGATTGATCTGCCACAGAACTGTTGTGGGGCCAAAGGTGTGACTTTAAGTATGATTATGAGCACATAACTACTTTGAGGTGAAGTCAAGGTCAACTTCTCCTCCATATTGGAACTGAGACAGGGACAGTGGGTGTAGTCAGAGTAGGGTGAGGGCCTCCAAAAAAAGCAAGGCAGGATATTTACAGTCAAAGCAATCAAACAATGTAAAGAAGTCCCTATCTCTGTGTTTAGCATTATGCAAAGTCAAGGTCACACTAATTCTCTAGGGTAAAGATACGAGACTAGGAATATAGACTTCTTCAGTGAGATCAGTTAAAGGTCAAAAGGCCAGGAGCAACTTGGCCCGGAATGTTTGAGTGTTCCACAAGGGTATCTCAGCATAACCCGTGACCAGCCCTGGCAAACAGACAACAACCCAGCCTACCTTGAGGGCAGGGCAGGTGGTACAAGTCCACACCCCTAAGCCTTATTCATTTTTTTTGGTATCATTAATCTACAATTACATAAGGAACATTATGTTTACTAGACTTCCCCATCACCAAGTCCCCCCCAACATACCCCATTACAGTCACTGTCCATCAACGTAGTAAGATGTCATAGAATCACTACTTGTCTTCTCTGTGTTGTATAGCACTCTCCATGCCCCCTCCCATATTATACATGTTAATCATAATGCCCCCTTTCTTTCCCTGCCTCTTATCCTTCCCTTCCCACCCATCCACCCCAGTCCCTTTCCCTTTGGTAACTGTTAGTCCATTCTTGGGTTCTGTGAGTCTGCTGCTGTTTGGCTCCTTCAGTTTTTTTCTTTGTTCTTATACTCCACAGATGAGTGAAATCATTTGGTACTTGTCTTTCTCCACCTGGCTTATTTCACTGAGCATAATACCTTCTAGCTCCATCCATGTTGTTGCAAATGGTAGGATTTGTTTTCTTTTTATGGCTGAATAATATTCCATTGTGTATATATACCACATCTTCTTTATCCATTCATCTACCGATGGACACTTAGGTTGCTTCTATTTCTTGGCTATTGTAAATAGTGCTGCAATAAACATTGGGGTGCATCTGCCTTTTTCAAACTGGGCTGCTGCATTCTTAGGGTAAATTCCTAGGAGTGGAATTCCTGGGTCAAATGGTATTTCTATTTTAAGTTTTTGAGGAACCTCCATACTGCTCTCCACAATGGTCGCACTAATTTACATTCCCACCAGCAGTGTAGGAGGGTTCCCCTTTCACCACATCCTCAACAACATTTGTTGTTGTTTGTATTTTGGCTGCCGGCAATCCTTACTGGTGTAAGGTGATACCTCATTGTGGTTTTAATTTGCATTTCTCTGATGACTAGCGATGTGGAGCATCTTTTCATGTGTCTGTTGCCCATCTGAAATTTCTTCTTTGGAGAACTTTCTGTTCAGCTCCTCTGCCCATTTTTTAGTTCTGTCATTTATGAATATATTCTCCCATACTGTAGGATGCCTTTTTGTTCTATTAGTGGTGTCCTTTGCTGTACAGAAGATTTTCAGCTTGATATAGTCCCACTTGTTCATTTTTGCTTTTGTTTCCCTTGCCCGGGGAGATATGTTCAAGAAGAGGTCATTCATATTTAAGTCTACGAGATTTTTGCCTATGTTTTTTTCTAAGAGTTTTATGGTTTCATGCTTTACAGTCAGGTCTTTGATCCATTTTGAATTTACTTTTGTGTATGCGGTTAGACAATGATCCAGTTTCATTCTCTCGCACGTAGCTGTCCATTTTTGCCAACACCGCTATTGAAGAGGCTGTCATTTCCCCATTGTATGTCCATGGCTCCTTTATCATACATTAATTGACCATATATGTTTGGGTTAATATCTGGACTCTCTATTCTGTTCCTCTGGTCTGTGGGTCTGTTCTTGTGCCAGTACCAAATAGTCTTAATTACTGTGCCCTAAGCCTTATTTTCACATCCCCCCAAATCCTCAATTGCCTACAAATCTCCTAGACAATGCACCACCCTGGGTTCTCTTGTCCCCTCCTGGTGTGAGCCAGGAGCTCTGTCCTCTCACTGTATCTCTTAATAAAAGCCT